CAACAGCAGCAACAGCAGCAACAGCACCAGCAGCAACAGCAGCAACAGCAGCAACAACAGCAACAGAAACAGCAACAGCAACAGCAACAGCACCAGCACCAGCAGCAGCTGCAGCTGCAGCTGCAGCAGCAGCAACAGCAACAGCAAACAGCAAACAGCAAACAGCAGCAACAACAGCAACAGAAACAGCAACAGCAACAGCAACAGCACCAGCACCAGCAGCAGCTGCAACAGCAGGAACAGCAGGAACAGCAGCAACAGCAACAGCAACAGCAACAGCAACAGCAACAGCAACAGCAACAGCAACAGCAACAGCAACAGCAACAGCAACAGCAACAGCAACAGCAACACCACCACCAACAACAGCAACAGCAACAACCACCGCCACCACGACGACAACGAACGTAACCAAGGTAACGTAGGTTCTCCTGGGTTAAACCAAGGGAGAGCACGAAATCCGTCCAAAATGTAAGGAAATTGTTTCTTTCTTAAGAGAATCTAGGGTAACGGGCTCTTCTGCAGGAAAACTTAGGGAAATCACGCGAAATCCGTCCAAAGTATCAGGGAACAGTCCCTAGTAGCGTTGTTTGTTTAACGAACTAATCAAAAAACAACGCCCCTTGCAAGCTGAGTCCCCAATAGCTTGACGCAGAACAAGAACTCCGGAACTGCAATCCCCCAATAGTTTGGAGCAAAAAAGGACCCGCAATTGCCCAATAGATTTTTGCCAAGCAGGACCCGGAAAGTTGGAATTCCCCAAGCTTGACACAGCGTAACACGCAATCCCCATAGCTGCTTGAAACACAGCAGAACCCTGACAAGTGCAATTCTCCAATAGCTTGACGCAAAGCCACAGCCTGCAAACTTTAATTCCACAATAGCTTGACACAAGGCAGGAGCCTCAAATTACAATTCCCCAATAGCTTGATGCAAAGCTGTAACAATGCTGCATTTTACAGTGTTTGACAGAAGACAAGAGCCTCGAAATTGCAATGCCCCAATAGCTTGCGGCAAAACGCCACCCTGCTAATTGTAATTCCCTTGTGGCTTGATGCGGAACAGTAACAAATGCTGCAACTTACAGTATTTGCAGCCAAAAAAGAAGAGCGAACCTTAGCAAATGAGATCGGGGACGGCCAAGCTTGGGAAAAAGCAAACCCTTCGCCGCTTTATGGATCTTTATGGTACTATACATGTCTAGCTATGGTTATGTGTTTTGTTTGTTTTTGCATTCGTTTGTATGCGTAGTTGGGTGAGTGAGTGAGTAGGTGAGCAACTGAGTAAGTGAGCAAATGAGTGCGTAAGTAAGTATGCATGTAGGTATGTGTGCAATGTCAATGTACATGTACATGTAATGTAATGTAATGTAATGTAATGTAATGTCACACAACGTAATGTATGTCTGTAATGTCCATGTATGTATGTACGCATGTGTATGTATTGTATGCATGTGTATGTAGCTATATATGTATGCATGTGTGTGTATGTATGTATTAATGTATGTATGTCTGTATGTAAATATCTATGCATCTATGTATGTACACGTTTGTTTGAGGATGTGCATATTTATGTACAAAGGCATTCATGTACACATGCATGCCGGCCTGCATGCATTCATGGATGTGTATGTGTGTATGCTTATGTGTGCTTGCACGCCTGTATGTATGTATGTATGTA